CCCCAAAACCCCAAAACCCCAAAACCCCATAAGGAAAATCATTAATCAGACACTAAAATAGTGAATTATATATTATTGATATCAATTATGTAATTTGAAGAAAAAGACCACTCATTAGAGCATCTAATTAATAATACTCCAAACGAGAAAGACTTAGAGGGATAACTACACAATTAAAGAGCAGCATCTTCAGTAAATATGATCTTTCCAAGATAACTTTATAGTTTATTAAAAGAAATGATAGAGTTCTAATGACATGGAGAGATTTGAATTTCTGTGTTCCTTTGACAAGGGAAGACAAATAGGTACTCAAAAACAAAAGAAAAATGGAAATCGAAGGTATTGTTGATGAAATAACCCCAGGTTACAATTTAAATGTTAAGAATATTGACAACACACTTATGAAAAAGATCTTGACAAACATTAGCGGATACGCTAAACCAAAGGAAATGATAGCTATAATGGGAGCAAGTGGATCTGGAAAAACATCACTCCTTAATGTTTTAGCTTAAAGATTAGCTTTATCCCCTGGATCAGTTTTATCTGGTGAAGTTAAGTGCAATAACAGAGATTTAGATGTCACAGATTTTGGAAAAATCGGAGCCTTTGTGCAACAAGATGATATCCTAATCGAAACTATGACACCAAGAGAATCGTTTGTGTTTGCAGCCAAACTAAGAACATCTCTCGATGATTACAGTATCTTAGTAAAGGTCGGGTAAATTATCTCGAGATTAGGCTTAGAACAATGTGCTGATACAAGAATTGGAGGAGTAATGTTGAAAGGAATTTCAGGGGGTGAAAGAAAGAGAACTTCCATTGGTTATGAGCTAATTACTGATCCTAGTATCGTACTTTTAGATGAACCTACAAGTGGCTTAGACAGTTCTACTGCAGTAAAAATAGCTAAGATTCTAAAAAATGAAGCTAAATTAGGAAAGACAGTAATTGCTACTATTCATTAACCATCAAGCGAGCTTTTTATGCTTTTTGATAGACTTATTCTACTGCATGATGGCTATTAAGTTTACCAAGGGCCAGTTAGTGAAATCAAGCCATATCTTGATTCGATGGAAATAACAGTTCCTTAGTTCAAAAATGTAGCTGAATTTACCATTAAAATGGTTTAAGTTCCTAGATTAATTAAATTCGATTTGACTTTTGAAAAACTTCGAGATAAATATGTATCTAGTATTGAACCAGCTATTTTTAGATAAATTGATTCCTATACTAAAAGATACGAGGGCTTTTAAGCCAGATTTTCAATTATATAGGAACAAAGAACAGTTACCCCTTGGGTCTAATTTAGAGAGATATTTAAGAGAAATCTTGTATATATGCTGAGAAATCCAAGAACTTTAAATGCTGCATTTTTCAATGCAATTTTCATAGGTTTACTAACTCTTGCCTTATACTATAAAGTTGGAGATTTAGATACGTACGATTTACCGAAAGATGCTTAAAAGGCTGCTAACAATTGGGTTGGTCTTTCTTTCTTGCTTTCTAACAATATGATGTTCCCTTCTCTGATGCTTGTTATAATATAAATGCCTTTGCAAGTACCTGTTTTTAAAAGAGAGCTTATGAATAAAATGTATACACCAACTATTTACTTTTTTGGTAGAATAACATCAGGAATGATCATTTAAATTTACTATCCAATTATGCTTAACCTTATTTTGTATTTTGGTCTCGGAATTAATATTAGTGCTAAAAATTTTTTCCTATGGTTAAGTTTAGCTATATAGATAAACTTAATCGGATGTGCGATGGGATATTTCTGCGGTGTTTTATTTGATAATGATACTTAAGCAAGATCTTTGAGTACCTTTTTGATGCTATTCTTTATGCTAGTTGCAGGTGGTCTCAATAATTCTACAACATATATTCCTTTTATTCAATAACTTTAGTACATTTCTCCTATGAGATATGGTGTTGAAGGATTCTTTAGAGGTATAATAAGATTCAATGACAGAGTCGATTAAGAGAAAGTATTAGATAAGCTTGGTTTCAATATAGGTGACACCAATATCCATGTTATACTGCTCGGAATATTTATTTTCTCTGTTTTGCTTGGATGGTTTGTCATATGGTTTAGAAACAGAAAATACTGATACCCTTTCAAATGCCTCTATGACATTCAATATCAATTTAAATCAAGTTTAAACCTTAATTTGCAATTTAAATTTTTACTTTTAATTGGTGCTTTTTATAATTTTTAGACTGTATGTCAGTCAATTGGGGTTTTGGGGTTTTGGGG